ATAACTGGCTAACATGGTTCAATATGTGAACTTGCAGACTACAGTGAGCTCTCTTTACCAATAGGGGTCAGTATTGAACTCCTCCTCCAGAGAGCTTGTCTTCTGTTGCAGCTCGAAATGCTTTTCCATTGCACAAGAGTAAGTCCAAACTGAACATAGTTTGAATAGATGTGGTATAAAACAGTATCACGATCTGTCCTACATTGCTGGTGTTTTCTGGCATGATTGTACCACATGTGCCAGTGCAACTGAGTTGGGAGGGAAGGGAAACATTTTAGTTCTGGAAAAGAAATCTGAACATTGTTCCTAGATACTTGTAAAATAGTGCTTGTTATGCTCTCTACACTTTCATTCTCTGCATACAGATGGGTGACAATTTAAAGGTAAAAACAACACAAACCTCATGTTCATTCACATCATTCAAAGTCCCCCTTTTTTCCTGTTTCTCCACTCATTCATTCAGGTTTGTCCTTTACTTTGTCACCTGTCTGTATTTTTCTGCAAGAAATACACTCAGATTATCTCAGATTTTAGTGTTCTGGTCACCACAATTAACTCTACAGCCACTACAACAATGAAGTGCTAGGTAAGAAATACTTGGTATGTTTGTTTCTCAGTTGTTCTGAATGTAGGGCATCTACAGACCTTTTTCTCATTAGGGCTGCTTTAAATTTATGTCACAATTCAGGTGGGGAAAAAACACACACTACCCAGAAAAGCAATACAACCCAGGTGTGAGCTACTGCTGTGTGCCAGGATGCACTTCATAAACTCTTGACTTCTTGTCAGTGTATGTATGTTCACCATCTGAAAACAGTCTTTTTTATTTTGGTCCTTTATATTGTTTGGTCTTGTTTCTGTGCATTGTGACACAGGTTCAACCAACTCAGGGTATGAAGGCCAATGGTAAAGTGAAGAAGCATTTTCATTGCTTAGCCAAACAGCTGCACATCAAACCACATCATTTACATTTACCAATTTCACCCAAAGACAACACGTCTCAGTGTTTTGTTTTCCAACAGATCTAATTTCTTCAGCTATGAATAAGGAATATTGTCAAAACATTTTGAGAGGGTCCTGACAAGCCTGTTGGGGCTTTTCAGTGGAAAAGTGGCCAGTAAGCAGCAAGACTATCTGGGCTTCTCCCTGTCAGACTGACAGTCCTCTGTAAGCCCCCTTCACTATACGTCCCCCATCGTGATTAGCAGTGATTACTAGCCTGTTAGGTTGTTTTAGATCTCTCATGTGATCTGCAGCTTTGCAGCGTCTGGAAGCACTTCAGCAGACACACAAGCCCAGTGTTCAAACCTGGACTGAAGCAGGCACTCAGGAGAGACTGCGGTGCGTCTGAGAAAGAGAAGTTTCTTTTCTCATTCTTGGCATAACTGTCCAGTTCAAATTAGACTCGACTGGACTGGTGATTGTAGTGGATTAAGCACCAGATACTGTGTACATTCCTGACTGTGTATAGCGATGATGGCAGGAATTGTAAAACACAAGCTGAAATGGTCAAATAACCCCACGACCGATAAAATAAACTGTGTTCAGAACTGATAATATCCAGTCTGCTTTAAGCATTTCAATGTTGTGAATTAGCTACTGTAAAAGCCTAATGTTTTGACCCTTGATGTTAAAACAGAGTGAAATGTGTATATATATATATATATATATATATATATATATATATAGTACAATAAGCCAGAATGACAGTAAAGTAAGTGAACACCCATATGCTCCACAAGGAAATTTAGTAAAACAAACAAACAAATAAAGGTTATTGTACATATTTACAATAGGAGCCTTTTTTGTTTCACGTTCATGAGCCACTGCAGTGACTATGCTAAGAAATACACAACTCAAAAAAATTACACAAGTATTCAGACCACAATAGCAAACTCATGATTCTTCAATTTTGAAACTGAATTGTTCCCAAATGTGAGGAGGAAACTTTATTTTTTACATTCCGAAATGTCTTTTTCTAGTGTTTTTCCTCGCTCCACCCTGGGGGGTATTTTAAAAGACTTACTGCATTGTCTTACATAAGGTGGCAAAGCTCCAAGTGTGTGTGGTGGTTAAGTGTTTCACAGAGCAGGACTGACATCAACTGTTGGAGGACAGACAATGAATGTGTTTACATACACAAAATGTACTCTGATATTACTGGGGAGACTCAAATATTTATTTTAGGAACTGGCATTTGTAAATGCCACATGTTTACAATAATTGGGATAAACGTGAATATGACAGCTGAAATGAGCTGATGTTAACGGGATACTGAGCCATGTAAACATCTTACTCCATTTACTGGTCGGGTTTAGTCATCTGTGCCACCTCTTTTTCCTGGTACTATTAAGAATATTTAAAACTCATTCTCTGGACTGTAAATGGTTTTGTAAAAATAAAATCCCCACCAGGGGGTCTTTTTCAGAGATTTGTTGATGATGATGTAATTTGTAAAAGTAGCCAGTAGAGCCCGATGAAAATATGATCACCAAACACAAGAAAAATGCAGAAAAACATGCAGAATTCACCATTAACATACTGTAAAAACCAGACTCTTTAGCTGTTTTTTAGGTTTGATTGTGTAGAAAATGAATACTAACATTAACTTAGTAGAATAATATAGCTAGCCACATTGATTTGTAACTTGACACAAAATCACACATAGAACAACAATGTGACACAAGATATGTGTTCATTGTGGTTTGAACTTAAAACTGCATTAATCAATATTTTTATATATCAACATTAAGGGGACCTTCTTACTGACAAACTCTCAGAAAATTATCACCCAACTCTGCAGCAGTTACTCTTTTTATGTTACATTTACTATATAGTTTGGTTTCAGCACCCTCATCAAGCTGTTTTCAACAAATGAGCTATGAAAAAAACTACTATATGCTAGCAACTTGCTGGTGAATATGTAGGTGCTAAAGAACCAGATTTCTTTCCCTCAGGAGTTGGTGGAGACCAAAAACAGAGCTCAAAAGAGAGTATGTGTTGGACTTGAGATGATTTTTCTCTGTGTTAGCTAGATCTGTAAAGAGGAAACGTATTTCTAAAATGTTAGCCATAACAAGGTTGTGAGGCAATAATAGTCCAGGGTTGTGTCTCTGGTTTTGGAATGCCTCTGCCCTCTAGTGGTCAAACATTCATTAATGCAGCTTTAATATGTTCATACAACCACAAGCATGTAGAAATGTTTTACCTGCTGGGTGCTACAGTGTTAAGCTGCATTAGTATACTTTTAAGACTGTGTATGTACTGTACCAGTGTTGGGCTAGATGCATGACTTTAAAAGTACTCATATTACCGTATTAGCTGCTACACAATTTTTTTTTTTACTTTATTTTTTCTTCACTATAATTATTTCATGTTTTGTTAGCACAAACTTTATAAAAAAGTAGAAAAACAAATAAAAAGTCAACTTCATCTTGTGCAGACAATGTGCTAATAAACTACATACAACATTGCATCTCGCATTGGTTTTGGGTCATACAAAATGTACACCATTAAGGAATGGTGTGATGAGCGAGTAAAGTAGTGACTTACATACAGCTAGCTTTCCCACAACACTGGTACGTACTGAACAAAAACCAGACATAGCACTGTTCAAAAAAGATCAGATTCTTAAGCCAATATGTTAATGTAGCTAGAAAGTTCTGTACAGTGCAAGGGGATTCATACAGCTAGTTATGTGCTGATAAATTAGACTTCATTGTCACAGTTTAATTCTAATACATGCCGTTCACTTAATATTGCCTGCTCACATACAACATTACACATTCGTTTAAATTGGTCTACTTTGCGATAGCTCTTCCTTTTTGAGTTTGTCTTTACCGAGCAACATTTGGGCTGATTGTGACTCACTGTAAGCTCCTCTGTAGTGAGTAACCACTGGCCTGTGTGCTACTATGTGTAACAGGGGAAATGTAAGTTGAATTTAATAGCCACAAAATGTGTTAGTGCCTGTTCCCATTATCTGAGGACAGAACGAACCACAACAGCAGACTAAACACAAAGGGAAATGTGGTGACATACACATCTTCCAGTGGTGAGTCATCTTTTTACAAATATATTCTCATTCTTACCTAGACCTTTTCAGTCACTTCAAGAGAAAAAAAAAAACACGCACGAACAGATAAAATGTCAAACATAGGGAGGAGAAAGTGCAAATATTTTGGCGCCGCTTCGTTTTCTTTTCTTGTTTTTCTGTTCATTTTTTTGAAACTCAGGAACTTCTTAATTTTTCTGCTCCATCTTTCTCTTTCCTGTCAGCAAGCGTACAGATGCCTTCCCTCTGTGCCCTCTGCTCTCGTCTCAGCTTCTGGATCCTTCTCTTCTCACACCAGACGACCTACTGGGGACAGACAGACAGACAGACAGACCAACAGACAGACAGACAGACAGACAGACAGACAGACAGGACAGACAGACAGACAGACAGACAGACAGACAGACAGACAGACAGACAGACAGACAAGACAGACAGACAGACAGACAGACAGACAAGGAAAAAAACAATGTATTCACTCATCTGTTTCAGTGTCCAGCATGCAAATGCGCTCACATGAAGCTGTTGCGTGACAAGACAATGGCATGGCTCAACAGGCAGAGGCTCGCCTAGACGGTCTCACACACACAATTTAAATGTATAATATAGTTTATTAAAACTGTTATTAGGGATGCATGTTGCGTTTCTGAATGACCATGCTTAAAGCAGATCCAACCTCTGAAGCTGATAACTCTTCCTTTTAAAACCCTGTTGCCTTTCCTTCACATCTCACCAGCATTAAGTCCCTCAGTTAAATGATCAAACAAACTCCAGTGCAGACTGTGATTTTTAGTTTAGCTTAGAACCAAAAATAAATGACCTACCTTTTAAATTTTGCATTTATATTTGCATCTGTTTTTTCTGTCTCTATAATACTTCAGTTAAAAGTAACTAGGTTTGTAACAAAAGTGAAGTGAGTGTTAAAATGCATAGTTTCTGCTATTTAGTGTTGCAAAAATGCAAAGTAAAGCAAAATTTCATTCTTCACTTTTTTCTTTACCATCTGTTTCTCTTCAGTTAACAAAAAGTCAGTGATCCCGTGAACCAAGGATAAAGTCAGAGGTTATTAACTAAAGATTGACTGCTAAGCAGCTGTACCCCACCTACAACTGAATGCTCCCTACGCACCATCACATGTGCTGACGTTATGTTACAACCGAGCTATAACTCAACACTCTCTGAAGTTGTGTTGCACTCGATCTGTGTTGAAACTGCATGGGACAGTCAATGTGCCGCACAAGGGATGGACTGCTCACTCATCAATCAGATGAGTGGGTGAGGGGGGGGCGGAGAGAGAGAGCGAGTGAGAGAGAAAGAAAGAAGGAAAGGCCTTGGAGAAAAGGAGATGGGTAAAGAGCTTAGATTGCTTACAGATGGCTGTCAAAGGGGAGCAGAGGTCCTCCTGAGCCCTGTGAGAGCTCAGGCTGTGTGAATGTCTGTGTGTGTTTGCATGTCTGTTTCATCTATCTGTATGGTGTGTGTGTGTGTGTGTGTGTGTGTGTGTGTGTGCACGCGCGCACATTAGGTAGTTGTACATGCAGTCTGTGTGTGTCTAGACTCTGCTGGCCTACATGAGGTTGTGTGTGGGGGTGGGGAGGTGCAGGTGCACTCTCTGTCAGTGCTGATTATGTTAGCCATGAAATAGAAGTCCAGCTGATTTCCCTGCGCACTCTGGAAGCTCCTGTAATCTCAGACGATGCATTTGCTTCAGAGTCAAGTATTTTGTTCGAACTTTAAAACATCACAATCTCTCCAGCATGCAATAAATCATATGTTACCTTCCATATGAGAAAGTCCTGTAGTGGATGCTTTCTCCTATACTTTAAGTGTACAAAATAAAACATTATGGCTACCTATTTCTACCATGACCAGTTGGATCCAGGTGACTGCTGTTTGCTGTTTAAACTGTGACATTTTTATGTAAATAAATTCATTTTGTTACTGCCACAAAAACACCACTCTGAATCAACTTGTATCCACTTAGCTCATAAAATATGTTCCTTTATATACTTTAAACACAAACTGAAAAAAGAAAACTCTGCACAATAAGTGATGTGGCTTACATCACCAACCACCACAACAACAATTTTGGCATATAGTACTTAAAGAAAGCAGTATCTAAAACACATTGTTGCCACATTGAGTAACCTCTTGGAAATGATGTTCAAAAAAAAAATGTGCAAATGTTTATGTAATATAGTCTTGATTAATAAATTAAATCTACTGTCTTACTGAACATGAATATCCAAAGGGTAATGTTAAGACATTTAATTATTTTTTAAAGTTAAAAGTTAAAATCAGAAAATGTGACTGGATGGCACTGAAGGAAAGCTCTTACAGTGTCCAAATGTAAAAATTCAGGATATAAAGAAATCAACAAGAGATATTTGAATGGATTGTAAGTAAAGATGGTGCAACTTGGTAACAAGAATTGTAGTATTTTGTACATTCAGTGTCATAAACCCTTTACCTTGGCACCATTAGTGGCATGTTCTCACTGTTAAACTATGCAGTACCACAATATTTGCTGATATCTCTTTTCCGGTGAAGTCATGTCGTTCCTCTCTTTAGCTCAGATAAATGTCTCTGTTGTAAGGAGCTGAGCTACAGTAGTGCTGATGAATCGGCTTTGCAATTACCAGGCTCCAGAGCAGCGAATGGTCCTCTCCCTCCTCTCCTCCCAGTCACTGAGGACACTGTCTGTGCCATTAACAACACAAAGCTCTCTGGCCTCTCCCTGGACACCTTGGCCCCACTTGTGATAAAGAGCTGAAAGCAGATCCTGTCTAGTGGTGAATCGCCGCGCCTCACCTGGGACCAGCCAATAAAGACACTTGGCTCAAGAGCTGGGAATCATGGTATACGTACATGGTGGCAACTGGGGAAAGGGACTGAGTTTACTGTCAGCCCGTGATATAAGGATTTTTTGTAGCAAACTCATCACCAGAGTAACGGGTAGTGATAGTGGGCATAGCAATGCTTATCTAACCGTCACAGTCCTTTCTGTTGACCTCTGTTACCTTTAACACAGTACAGTGTGTCGAGCTGATGTCACAGTAATTAAAACACAAGTGGTGTGGAGTAATTGCTGTTGGCTCTGAGAGGACGGGGGTCTGGGCTCTCTAATGGTCCTGCAGCCTCTGTGCCAGGCCTGCCTCATAATGCCCTCCTTTCATTCCTGCCTAATGACGGACACAGCCAGGACAAACAGGAGAGGAAGAGACGAGAGAGCAGGAAAGGAGACGAGAACAGCAGACAGGATACAGAAAAAAAAGGAAATACAAAAAGCATGTGTGCACTTCTGACTGTTTTTGTCAATGCAAACCGAGCAGGAAGTTTAAAATGGCCTTTGTCAGGTGAAATCAGCCCCCAAATACCTCCAGTAAAGAGGCAACAATATTCCTTCTTAGTCATCTGTACTTAATGACACCAGATTAATATTTATATGATCATAAACGAATAAAAGAACACCCTAACTCTAACCCTAACCAGAACAGAGCTAGTTTCTCCTTTTACAATCCACTGTACTATCTACCCTCCATTATGTAGATATGCTGTATGTTCGTGCTGCTGTCACCGCCGTTAAACTACTTGGATGCCATTTACCACAGTGCCAGTCAGTTCATTACTCTAGAACGCTCACCGCTGTGAGTTACACGAAAAGGTTAGATGTTCACCACTGACATCTAGAAGGCATCAGCATACCTGTGTTTCATTTATAAGGCCTGGCTATCTAAGCTGCCGAGATATTCAAGAGCCTGAGTTGAGTTCAAAGTGAACAACCTTGACACCAGATCAGAGGATAGGTTGGCTTTAAAAGTTCCTCATGCCAACTTTAAACTGAGGAGGACTGGTTTTCGGTACTATGCACTTCACTTTGCTGGAAGTAGCTGATGCTCATTCCTCTGAGGGAGATCTACTTACTGATATTTTTAATAATACAGATGATTTTTTTAAATTAAAGTATATGCATGATGACTGCTGCGTGGGACTGAATGTTCTTGTTGTGATATGGTAAAAAGTATGTAAAATGTGAAAGACATCTTGATCTTAATGTGATTTCCTGAAAAACGAAATACATTTGTGACAGTTCAGTATTTGAATGCAATTTGTGCCAATGCTGCAAAACAGAGGTGATATTATAAGCTGGAATTAACCAACACGACATTTACCTAAAAGCCCAAAAAACAACAGATAAATATCGACCACTGACATCGGAGAATGCCATCTTATTTCCCAATAGGCCGATGTCAGTCAACAAGGCAAATATCGTTGCATGCTAATGTTTGGCCAATAAATCGATGCATCCCTAGCTGCAGGAAAAATCCCCAGCTATTTATGCTCAACAACAGTGGATGCATTCTGAAAACTCAAAGCTTTGTAAGCGCTCACAACAATAGATCCTTTAATATCTTATAATTGTGTGTGCTTATTTGATGTGTTTTTGTGCGTGCAAGCATTCATACATGCACGCCCGCATGTGTTTGTACTTACTCAAACGTGTGTTTATGGCTTTCTAAATGGGATTAAGATTTTTGAAAAGAACATCATGAACCCTGCTGCCAGAACCCATTGCAACAAGTTTAACAGTGAAACATTTTTGTATTTCTGTTCATTACAGTGAGCGAGACATAATGCTGGGGCCCTCTGGACTACCAGACCTGCTGCTCCTCTGACTGTGAGAAAAGTTTATAGAGAAAAGTCACTGCCCTGAGCTTCTGTTTCATATCTCATCTATAATGAGGTTTCCAGTCTCTCCAGACGATGGATGCCACCCTCTCCAGCACTTCAAAACTCACACAAGGTATTCAGATGTTTTCCTTTGCTGTTGCCAACGTGTCAAGAGCAAGGAGCCTCATGCAGATGTGCTCCACTCTGCCCCACATGCTTGCAATCCTTCACCAAAAAGCACGTACTGTAAACTGTAAATATGTCCAACAACACTCCAGTGACGATCCAAAGCTGCGACAGAGCATGATAAGATTTAATGCCTGGCAAAGGCAGCTTGACTTAAAGGGATCCAGGCCATTGAGGATCATCTAGGCATACCTGAACACAATGGCCGTCTATCTTAGTCAAGGCAGAATGCTGCCATATGTTCTCACAGACTCCTGCTTCTTTCATGCAGGGTTTCAATGTCTCTCTGTCTCTTCTTTAAATACCTCACTCTCTCAACAATCAGCTCAGAGTGCCTGAGTGGCAGCATAAGGAGCCGTATAAAGCTGTCAGGCCATTTACCTCCAGCTCTTAAGCATGAAGGTGAGAAATTCGGTGACCACAGCGAAAACAACCAACCGAGCCTCCTCATCTGCTCTTCCAATACCGGGGGCTGTTTATCCTGGCAGCTGTGCCCAGGGTCCGAGAGAGGCCTGACGTTATGCCCGCTCCGAGCCACTGTTCTCCAGGCGCGGTGGGGCAGCGCCAGGGTAAACACATGACCTCAGTGCTATGTGGCGCTGAACCGGCCCAGTGGGCAGAGTCAACAGCACCAACGGGACCAATAATCGCTCAATGGGGATAATCCCGACAGATTGAGAAGAGAAGGAGACAGACTGAAAAGAGCGAGACAGACTAAAAGACAGAATGATAATTAGCAAAAAATATAATCATTCCTTCCTTGGTTCTTCTTCAGAATTGTCGGCCAATTTAGTTTAGGATTTAACATCTTAAAATTACACCTTGAGCTTTAGCTAACTATAATGGGCATTTTAATGTATTAATAGAGAAATAAATAATAATAAGATTATTCAATAAAATTTGAATAAATGTGAGTTTCAACTCTACAAAAACCATCTTAACCGTTGAAGAATAAAAACTGCAAATATCTAATGTCTAAATTCTATTTTTATGGTCATAACTTAAGATGATATGTCACATCAAAAAACAAAACCCCTCTCCAGCAGAACAGATGACAATACTCCATCCACACCACACATGACTGATGCGTTTCACCAATGTGCATGTTAATGGGTTACACAATAAGCCAACTATAGCACTCAAAGCCAGAGGCTGCCGGAGTTAGTGGAAGCGTATTAGTTTGCCTTACTGAACAATTTTGTCCCTTGCCTTGTCCCTTGGCTGCCACTTGTTGTTGAGCTACCTGTAAAAGAGAAAGTAACAAAGATTAAAGTTGATATTGATGGATGTCTTGTTCTTAAGCCTTAAAAACCTTAAAATTATGCCATCAAAGAAAATAATTATACTACACAGTGCAATTTGTATTATACAGTGTAACATTACATTTTAAGTTTACTTTTTCATTTATGTGTTAAATGTGATCTACAACTTCTGGGAATAAACTTTATTTCACAAGTTTTTCTCTTGGCTGTATGACACTGGGGTTGTAGCTGGTAGCAGCTTCTCAACTGTAAGCTGCTTTGACAGTTGTTAATGATCTCTATTAGGACCAGTCTGTACACTCATGATGAGTAGTTTCAGTTTTCCGGCCCAGACAGCGTCTAGGATCCACTAATACATTAGTCTCGTCTAAATATTCATCAGCGTGTGCTAAGTGGAGCAGTGTACCTTATTTAGACTGCCAACACATCTGTTTGTCACATGCACCACAGTTACTTCATCCCTTCCTCTAAACAACTGACTCACTTGACTTTTTGAAACTATGATGTGATGAATATATTAGTAAAAATCTAATGTGGGAATTAATGGAAATCATTCTGTGTCTCGTGGTTAACACTCGTATACTTTTAACAACACATGGAAAAAATCTTTTATTCTTGTAAATCCTCAATTTGATATTCTTATACAAGTTTTAATTTGTTTTTATTTTTGTTGACAGTAGCTGTTAAACTGCATTCAATCAGTTCTGCATGCCAAAGGGCATCTCTAACTAGTTCTTGAAGGAAACGAGACTGTATATGTAGATTTTCCCAGCTGGCCTGAGGTTCATACCAGGGCCATGACCCTATTCTATGACCCTTTTACCCCACTCTCAACCGTCCTGTTTCCTGCCACCCAGTTTTTCCCCAGCTTCTCTTTTCCTCTTACCCTCCTTGCTGACACCCAGGCAGCCTTTCAGCTCCTGCAGGGAAATGGCCCTGTCCTTATTCAGGTCACAGTAGTCGGTGAACTTGCGGGCACATTTCTTGGGTTTGGCTTTCTTCTTCAGGTACCTCTTGAACGGCTTGAGTTCCTTCTTGTTGATGTCGTGGCTGCCGTTGTTATCCAGCTGGGCGAAGTACCAGTGCACCACCCTCTCCTCTAAAGTGTGACTGGGATCAGGCTCAACAAACCTGGTTAGGATTAGAGGAACAGACAGGGTGAAAACATGGATGTTTCAAAACCTAGAATGATTCGCATAAAAGGGAAGTTGCAAAAAATAAAATAAAAATCCTGTGCAGAAAAGGTGTGGATACTTTAGACAGTCTTGTTTTATGTCGTTTGATTTCAGCTTAGCTTGCAATAAGATTATTTACAAGCTTTGCTTTGCAGAATGGATTTCTCTTTTCGGGACAGTGTGTACAACTTCAATCCAAATACCTTTCACTCCCATCATTGTATATAGTTCTAACATTGATGTAAAGTGAACACCAAACCCTGTCAATGTCTGTGCCAAGATCTGTGCATTGTCAGAGATAAAATATATACGTTGAATACATACAACCAGAAGGAAAGCTTGGTTGAGAAAAAACAGGAGTGAAAGTTTTCCATGAAGAATCAGTCATAAGGTATCGTGCTCAGATACAACTGTCTTCAGTAGTAAATGACACTACTTACCTCCCACCACCAGAGGGGGCTGGTGAGTTTATGGCTTGCACCATGTCTGTAGTGAGGGCATCTAACAAGCTTGTAATGAATTCCACTTTTTTTCCCTCTGGGCAGCCTGGCACAAATCAAAGACAAATATACAACAAAATTACCTTCCACAACTAATTTGAGTCATTACGGTACAGTGAAGCTGAAGTGCCTCTAAAAGCCTCCACACCAGCGAACCAGTATGACAGATGTCAAACGGAAAACGGCTTTTCTACAGTAAAATAAAGCATGCAAACCTTGTCCAGAGCTTAACGACAAAACAGGTGTATTGGTTAACTGGCTTGTGTTCACAATTACTGGTGAATCATTATCAATGTATTTTAAATAGAGGTGAAATACATAGTTTGGCTGTTTTGTAAGACTTCAGACAGCAGAGCTGAGGCACATGGCGAGAAGTGGAACAGAAGTGTTCGGTGATGAGAGAGTTTTGTTGAGCAGTGCAGACCTGTTAACTTTTATGACACAATTCTGAACACCTTGGGTAGCTCTCTTTAATTGCCCAGATGTATGGCTTTAATAGCATGCTAAACCAGTGCAAATTTTTCCCTCCTAATTGTGTCTCTTAAAGGGAAACTTCAAACGCAGCTGCATAGTAAACTAATCTTCTCATTCTTTTTTCAGTCTCTCCCTCTTTTGCTCGAGCTTTCTTACTCGATCCCCTCCTCCCCTTGTGGCCTCCTTGTTCTCTGCTCTGTTCTTGTCTTTTCATCCTTTTTGTGCCGGCTCAGTTCAGTCCTCCGCTGCCCCGCCAGGTGAATTCAATTAGCATTTCCTACGACACGACAAGCTCGGAGAAGCACTGCCTTGCTGTGCCTTAATCCAAGTGTTAAATTGGGGTGTTATGAAGCGCAAACCGTTATGTTGTATGCTGCCTATGTGGCAAGGTGTCAAGGGCACAGTGTGGTGCAGGACCTCTGGGCTCTGGGCCACTTGGATTTGATCTTGTTAATCTGAAGACTTTAAAACACACTTAAAGCTGCATCAAACAAGGCTGTTTCTCTAAAAAATAGAGAAAGATGTTCTACAATAAAGAACAAAAATGAGCTAAAAATCACTGGTTCCCCTTTTTGGACTTTTAAACCATTAAAACAAAGCAATGTTCACCTGTGGCACATCTTCGAAGAATGCACTTTTATATCCTTAAAGTAGTTTTAGTGCAGAAATCTTTCTTCTCAGTGTCTTCTACCTGAATTATTTTTAGGGTTATAAGGAGTTATAGCTATCCATTTCACATGAAAAGGGCAAATGTATAGAAAAATCTGAAAAAATATATATGTATATATTTATTTTATCCCATTAATCACTCAGCCACTCTGACCTTGGCTGTTTCATAGATGCGGAACATTTAATTTGGGCCTTAGTCTGTGTCCACCACTGTACAAAGTGTAGCTTTAAGCATACAAAATGATACTGTATTTCAATCCTGGTCTTTATAGTAGCGCAGGAACAAATGTAAATGGAGTAATTTTCCTTCCTAAAAATACTACCTTAATGTTAGAATAAAAATACAGTTCGTGAACTGGAAGTGAAGAGACCCTGCCTTTGGTCTCGGGGGAAGAGCTCCTATGTGCTCTTTCTGACAGAGGTGGTATTGTGCCACACTGTGTACAGTGAGCTTAAACCTGTAGCTGCATGCTGTTAATAGACTGCCCTCTCAAGCATTCTTTTCTCTTGCCTTGATGTGACGACCATGAAATATTGTGCTTTTGTTGTGGCGGTTCAGAACATCCCTCTACAGTACATAAAAATATCTCCACTCAGCACCCTGTGGTCTCCAACACCCCAGCAGACCCCCACAGCCTCTGCACCACACCCCGCAACACTCACACCTTCCATAAAACATGCCACACATCTGCTGCACAGTCAGGAGTCATGCTTGACTCTGTAAACTCACCAGATGGGGAATTAAATAAGAGTTACAATGCAACCTTAAATGATGGGGAAACAGAGGGGCAACAAAAGTAAGTGAGCAGTAACAAGGGCAGAGGAGTATGAGCCGAGGTTACGACCTCTGGTTTAGAGGAGAGTCTCTGATCTTTGCTGCTGGGGAATCCAACAACAAAGTGTGGTTTGGTTGATTCTTATTCAAAAGTGGTCAGTTGGCATTAAAGGAAGGAAAAATATATTTCCTGAAACAAGTAAAAATATACATAATTTTCAAGTCTCTGAGCTGCAGTGCTAGTAATTTGCTGTTGTCTAAACCCCTCACCTGTACAGATTGTACAATCAGCAACTGTAACTAAGCACAGTGAGTCAAACTTTGGCTGAAGCTGTGTGCACAGAGCTGTAGTGACAGGCCAATGAGAACTTAGCAAACAGCAATACTGTCTTGACTGTATTATTTTTGTTATTAACAATTTAGAAAAAGTTCAAGTACATATTAACCTCGCGAGGCAGCTGGACTCGCAAGATCACGAAATCAGAAGATCATGAGAGAATCCATCTTACCAGGCCTCAATCTATACATTTGTGGCCTAACTAAGTGGTACCCGACTAATCAGCATCTTTTGAGGAAGTACTGGCAGCTAAGAGTTTGACTACGTTATGTGGTTCATTGATCTGAGTTCGCCCGTGATAGACAGATGGTTCATCCAATCACCTAACATGATTTTTTTGAAAGCACCTGTTTCCAACGACAACTTTCCAGATGGTTCTGTGTAACAGACCATCTGACACAGTTCGGTTATGTGAATATCTAAGCCTCTTCATTTATCAGAAATACAGTTTGACACAAGATAGTAAATTTAATCCGAGAAAGTTTCTGCAATCCCAAGGCCAAGAATAAGTTGAACTGCTGTGAAAAGTGAAGAAAACCTGTCAGGTCTCTGCCTTGGAAGGGGTCTTCTATGTCTGAGATGCGAGATCGTGCAGCACTGTCACACTCTGGGGTCTGGTACCTGTTACACAGAAAGGAGAGGACAGTAGGAACATGGCTACATGAGATAAAAACAGAAGCAGCTGATGAAGAAAAGAATAAACCTGTCTTAGCAATGTGTGACAAACCTGAGCCATCAAAGCCATACAATATAAAACAAAAGTCAAACATTGCCTGGAATTAAAGACTCAACAAAACAAAAACACCACAAAAGATTTTCCTGTTTTTCTTTCAGGTCTCAGAATAATCTGATGTGGAGCAACCAGGAGATATTCTTGGTTAAGGACAAATCTTTATCGTCATTATGAATTATTGATGAACATCTCTCCCCCAATCTCTTCACTGCATGTATTTGCACACATCCATTCTGTTATAGCTTCTTAGAAGTACAACGTATTGCTCGTTGGCTTTGATCCATATATTCACATTTGATCTGTATTGAAGTATTGACAGTGATTGACCTCCCTTTTTATAAACACATAATAAATAAATTTGATTTGACATGCACAAAGCTTTGTTTCGGAGCCATAACAAACTGTTCGGCATTATGCGTGGCATGACTCGTTTTCTCCTGGCTATTGTATCAGCGGTTCTTGAATGAGATGGAAAATAGAGCATGTGTGTCTCATTTGGCCTTTTTTTTCTTTCTTTTTTTAAGTAAGTTGTCATTTCTTTCTTCACAGTCTGCAGGGTTTCTGATCCAAGATGGGATGTCTGATGCATGACTCTGCGCATTGCCGTCCAGAGGAAAGAAATTGGGATGAGTGACATAAGGACTAGTCCAAAATACATGAAATTCTTACGTGAGGAAAATCGCCTCAAGGCTGTCATTGAATATCTCTGTAATGCAGATGAGAATTTGGGCTGTGTAAGTTTTGCTACTATGCGTGTGATTTATTTGAGGGTTTTGATGGCTGTTAAATACGCTGGTATCACATTGATTTGAAACTACACCTGCGTCATCCTGTTTTCAAATACTAGCAAGACCAAAAACAACTTTTTCTGATAGAAAAAAAACGTCCTGTATCTCCTCCTGTAAAACATAAACCATCTCGTGGAGAGAGAATGATGATGCCCTTTCATGAACAAAAACAACTCATCTATTTACTGGTGCATGCTTAAAGTTTTTTCAAACATCCAATCTCTTTCCCTTCATCTAGTGCTGATTTTCAAGTTGTAATATTCACGTTCTAGATACAAATCATGAAAAGTTTTTAAACAACCAAAACATGATCAATGGGCATCATTTATTTAACATTTTTCTGTTGCCTCGTCTGCATCCCTGTGACATCAGCTCTTGAAAAATCCCATTGTGCCTCCGCCATTTCCCTGAAAGCAATATAAACAGCAGCAACTGCACTAAAAACAAATGTCATACCACTGAATGTTTATGGCCGGCTAAATGATATTCCCATCAGGGCTTGAAGATAATTATTTTGCAGAGTGAACCGGCAGCAGCAGTTTGGATCCAGAATTCCTTAAAAAAAAAAAAAAAGTAAGGTCTACGCGTGTAGCTATGAGCTCTAGGTATGACTGTGTGTGGTTGGTCGGGCCAGACTGAGATACATCAACAACTACTTGATGGATTGCCATGAACTTGTGTACAGATATCTGTGCTGGCCAGAAGATGAATCCTAATTACTTTGGATTCCCTGACTTCTCTTCTAGGTCTTCTCCTCCAATACGTCTCAACATCTACTGTGCAGTACTTAATATTGGTACAGACATTTATGGTTCCCTGAGGATGAATCTAAAGACTTTGGTGATCCTTTGACTTTTCAACTGGCGCCACCATGAGGTTCACATTTGTGGTTTTGAGTGAAATGTTTCTTGGATGGATTGCCATCAAATTCTGCACAGACATTCATAACCCCTCAGGTTAAATTCTAATACCTTTGGTTATCTCTAAGCATTTTATCTAGCACCATTATAAAGTCAGAATTTCACTTTGTCAAATCATTGTTATCTATATACCTGCAAAACTAATGACAGCAGTATGAATGCCATAGTAGCTTAATAAAAAACTGGGTTAAGTGCTTCTTCTGATAGCGGATATTACCTGGTGGAGGTTCCAGGAATAGGCCGTCCCGTGTCCACCAGAACACACCAGCAGTAGCCTGTGGACTGGTGGCACTGGACCGGTTTGTAAAGGCCTCCAGGCCCACAGTCAGGGATGAAAATGGCATCCCGGGGATTCTGCCGAGCCTCATCCAGTGCGCTCTGTCGCTCCTGGTCACAAGAGGGAACTTTCTCTAAAACCATGAGAAACACACTCAATACAGACGCACCACAATTGGGGAAACCAGAAACACACACACAAAAAGTCTGTCACAAGATTAATCGGAGATGGCGTACATCAGGATAGGATGAAAGACCACCCAGATATCAACATACATAAAACTGATTCAGGATAATAATGATCATGTCACAGCTTTACAGTTTAGCAAATTATTAAAGCATTTACAGTGGCATGCCTCCACGTGTTGTACTTGGAGTAAGTTACTATTTGGAGGCAGGTTGCCCAACATCGTGTTGGCTGTCGATCAACCAATTTCAGTTGTGATTGGCCGGCTACTGGTCGGTAGAAAGTGCAGTCTCTATACCATTTTGTATTCTTCATGTCACTTTATAGGCCAACTGTTGCACGTTTATGCACACTTTATGTTTTTGTTGCTGACTTGGGGGTCATGTCTGTTATTAAAGCACTGTATGTGGTCAGAAGATTTATGTACTGTAGGGCTGAGTTGTGATAGTAGAAACAATGAACAGGATTGCAAGGGTTTGCATTCAACAGGTAGCTGCTGCTCAAACTTTTGAGAGTTGGTGTTCACTCTTGCTTCAAGATAACTTTAATACTACTTCTTCCCATGGGTATATGGCTTGTGATGCAACTGGAAATCAGACATGAGTCACCACATTGTTAAACCATGTAAAATTTGTCAGGAGTGTTTTCCTTCCATCTGGACAAATTAGTAAACCTACTATATTTTAAGCATTAAAGTTCATTAGTGGCCTTGGAAATACTGTAGTACTTTGACAAGAAGAATCGTAACTCGAAGTCCACTTACTTAAAAAGCTACAACCATATAAAACCACCTGACACATAATGAGAACTGAACCATTTCTGTGTAAACTAAGACAACAGTATCTGCTTATGAAGACTGTAGGATGTAGATGTTTAAAGATCAACCAAGGTAGTTTGTCTTCTGAAGACTAGACTTCAAGTTCTTTCAAAAACCTTTATTGCAGCACTTGTACAACAAAATCTTTACTAGTCCTTCCTCAGGTTGTATTACAAAGTCCTAATCCACCACAATCTCTCATATCTGTCATATATTCAACAACAGCCGCTGCAACACCTTGTCCCACCGCACTGTATTTACATTCACATCCATTTAGTCCATTGCTCACTCTTAAGCCAAGTACAACAGAGCAGCATTCTAAACTTGCGATGAAGTGTGCTTTTACCACTCCTGATCCATTCTTCCTTTGACATTCAAGTGCGCTATGAAGCCACTGAGCTACAATAAGAGGGCATGCTAACCGTTTGGAGCCCTTTTCTTCAGCGTGGTGACGACATATTTTCACATTGTGGAGCTGATTAGTGCCACAGCAGTGCCGGTAGTCTCAGCTCGCACAGTTCCAGTAACCAAAGGATAATTAAGACAATACGGCACAGCCACTGCCTGATTCAAGATCGGGAAAGGAGCTTGTGAAATTAGATCTGGGACTTCTACAGAATTCTCAGCATATTCTCTACCCCACAACAGTGGTGAAAAGAGCATTCACATCCTTTACTTAAAATGGCTGTAATCAATATTCCTGTATTAAAATGAGATGTAATGACTTATTTTCTGTTAAAGTGGTTGCTATTGGTGACAAAGCAAACCACAGAGAATTAATTCCCAAATTTGCAAACACATTTCTTATAATGTCAATGTTGTATTTTTAGTTTTTGGACTGCCCCCAAGTGGCTCAAAAAATCAATCAATGCAACAATTGTCTAAAAATGTTAACAATTTTTATGCTTTTTTATGTGAAAAAAATGAGGCCTTAAGACCATCTGACTTCTCATTCTCCCGTGTTTTTGCACATTATCTCTCTACCTTGCAGTTCATCTCCCTAACTAACACAGCATGTTGTGGCACACACAAGCACAGTGCTAATTGATTTCATAGTTGATTTTAAAACTTCAGTCTTTCCCTAACTGTCAATTTTCAGGAAAATTGATGTTTTACAAGATTTCACGAAGAATGGGATAGATTAACAGTTTAAGAAGAGAAAATATTTACTTATAAATTTCACAAAACATGTCTACAAACGTTAAACACAGTAGTCCTCTGTCATCCTCCATGGTAGTATTAGGATGGAGATGACAGTGGTGGCAGGTCGAGGAGGATTGGAGGTGTGTGTGTGTGTGT